AATGCTTGGCGCCGGACACGTCGCTGAGGAATCTCACCTGCTCAGGCTCCGCAGTCTCACAGAAGCCATAGGATGATGAGTATGGAGGATTTCATCCAACTGCCCTAAGGCGCCTTGGGCAACAAACCAGTGACTTTCAGCGCATCGGGGCCTCACAAAAAGGAGAGATAGATAAGAAGTTAGGCACTGGCTGATGAGGGCCCCTTGGCCCCTGACCGACCATCGTCACAAGGGCAGCATCCGCGGTCTCTGACCTACGATTTCAACGTAGTACGCAACAATACAAAGGCTTTGAAAGAAGACCCCTTCCAGCGAAAAGACAATTCGACCAAGTCGGCAGCCAGCTAAGGCCGGCATCTACAGAGATCTGCACGACAGCATCCGTCACAAAGGACCTTGACTAGTTGTGGGTGAAAATCTCCAACATCCACAACTTCCTCCATTGCTCAATGGCTTACACTACACAAAGCTGTTGACGGAAGAATGCATAAGCACCAATCTTGATTGACTCCCTCCATCATCTGAGCAAGAAAGCAAGCCAAATCTCAAGCCAAGCACGTCCCATTCACCTGCACCGCTGTGCTCACCTCAGGCCAGCAACCGTCACCACGCGTGCTTTCATTGGACTCTTTCTCGTGTGAAGAAATCCAACCTTTTTTTTACAACAGCCCTGGGTAGAAAGACAAAGCAGTGTGCAAGTCCACTTAAGATTTACAGCAACAGTGCAGGTTTCAAATGCTAAGGCTCTCACCGCCGCAGGCGTCGTGTAGCACAGGACACCGGGCCAGTCCTCTGACCCGGCTGCTGGGGTTGTCCTTGGAAAGATCCTCGTTCTACAACTAGCTCCAGCAAAGGTGATACGGTAGCATGTAATCTCAGATATCAAAATACCCACGGAGAAAATGTCAACAAGCCATGCTAGTGATTAAACTTTGGGGTAGTTGGCTTGTGTTTGAGTCGTTGGACACAAGTAAGTCTGCTTCCCAGACCTAGCTGAGAGATCCTCGTCATCTTATGGTGTTCCGTGGGACTTGGTACATTTTCCATGAGCGTGAGTTCACAACCAACACAGCACCAATGAATGCTGAGGCACTGTGTTTACTTTGCAAAAGGACAGCAAAAAGCGGTGCATTGCAAGGCCTTTGCTTTCGGTGAAAAGAAAGCTACATCTTAAGAAAGGGCTCAAAAACGATCGCAGACCACGTGGCAAGCTGATGCTCAATCATGCTTTATTAGCGCCCCTAAAATTAAGCTCACATATCCGCCGCATTCCATAATCTACATACCTGAGGGTGGTTACAACCAGCTCAGCATGGTCTGAGCCCCCTGCAGGAGCGGCGGCTGGAGCACAGAGGCCTCCACCGCGACCTGCAGGGATGCCAGAATAGTCGCAGCCGTTGACTTCTGGGTGCTCGGGCAGTCTTATGTAATATCTAGGAAACCAGCAACTGCTCCAAATCAACTGCTCCAAATTCCGACCTTAAGTGCTTGCACTGCTTTTTGAGCTGGCCTGGATTCAGCCTTTGCGGCTCCAAAGCCAAGTTCCTTTATCTTCGGAATGGAGAAGCGGAAGTCGGGAGGATGACAATGAAGTGGGACAAGGCAGTCGCTGGCACTAAGATGGTTCCTAGCAAGGGCAACAGCAGCAGCAGCAGTAGCAAAAAGTAGTCATCCTTGTAGCGGTAGCGGATGAACGGAGAGCGCCTGCACCGAGGCCTGCATCTGGCAGCGCAGCGCGCCTTTCGAGGCAGCTCCTGATTTGCTTGTTCAGCGACTGGCTCCACTTGCTTCTGAGGGATTTCTGATGACCGCAGAATTCATGCTGTCATGAAACTTGCTGCAACTTCTTACTGCTGATACTTCCACTGTTGCTACGATACCACAACCAACACCACCAAAATGCACTGCATCTTGACTTACTGACCTGCAAAACTGACAATCATCAGGCAGCCTACAGAGTGCTGGTCACTGAGGCCGCCGCGGTTGATGTGGTAGCCCGAGGTGGCTACAAATGCCCCCTTCTCGTAGGACGCAGGAGGCAGGTCCTGCACATCCCTGAGGCTTCAAGACCGTGTCTGCATGTGTCTGTGATCGCCGCAGTAAACAATCCTTTCTCCAAGTCTCGCCCCAATTTTTCAACACCAACTGCAAAAGCCTAGAAGGGTGAGAAAGAGAGAAAGAGAGAGAGCGCGGATCGGGTGAGGGAAGGTGGGCAGGAACCGGCTGAAGCCCTTTGACCGCTCTGGGACCGTCCAAAAAAACAGTCTTGGGCTTCATCCGGCCCTAGGAAGGAGAAGAGTTCTTGGAGAAGACTCAGAAGAACCCCTGACAATCGTCAAAATCGTTCATATGCTACCACTCCCTAACCGATCCTCTCAAGCCTCTCACAGACTATTCCTTCTCAGGTCGCAATTATGTACGGCTCTCCAAGACTAATGAAATCTCCGGGTACAGACTGGGTTCTGCTACATGTTGTATATTGTTCCCTTCCCCAAATTATCATGGACCCCAGCAAATCCAACTTTAAAAGAGCGGCTGTCCTCACAGGGGGCAATGCTTACCGTGCAGGTGGGCTTGCCACCCCTACTACTCCTGCTGCTTCTGCTTGGTATGCCCTTGAAATAACCAGCAGCTAGACTGCTAGCAGCCCTGTTGCATGTGCAGTGCTACAGGTCCTTCATCTCCACAAGCATCAGGGAGATGTTTGACCTCGGCCGGAGAGAAGAATCGATCTATACAATCTACACACGGTCACAGCTTCCTGTCAGACCCCATCATCCATCTCTCAAGCGATCGCTGAGCCCAAAACATACCAAGTCCATGCCTGAGCACTGTGAAACCGCCCAGACCATGTCTGATATCAGGTGCTGGAGATTGGGGATAACTTCCTCACAAATAGCATCAAGGGCATGCCTTGTCCTGCATGGTTGCAACAGAAGGCACTCCCAAAAGAGGGCTTGCAGCAATCAGGCACAAGTCCATAGCAAGAAATTCTACAAGAGAGATTGTTGGCTTCCTTGTGTCGAACTCATCGGCGCGCTTGGAATGGGATACTGCTTTTGATACATGATACATGTCGTGCCGGCAGCAATGGAACCTCGGACTTCGTCAAGTCAAGCAGCTGGGCAGGAATCCGCACGACTCCCGGCAGCACATGCCGCACGAGAGGCCTGAAATTGTTTCAGGACAACTAACGACCCTAGCAACGCAACAGCATTGACGGGCTGCTTGTCCGGGGGCCATGCGGGGTTTGGTTTCGGATGATTTCAACTTCCTTGGCAGCCAAACAGCAGAACGCGACTTGAAGTGCTGAGAGCTGAAGCATGTGAATGGCAGCAAGCCTAGCGCAACTCTTGGCAAAAGCATTTGAAGCAGTTTGGTCGCAGGCCGGTCGGTAGGTAAACGTCAGCGCATCCGAGCGCCTCCATCCTTCGTTAAAAACCTGGGACCAAGAGAATGATGATTTCAGATTCCACTGCCGCTACTTTTCACTGGGTACATGTGGGAACCTCTGCGCTCTCGGAAGACTTTCCCTGTGGTTTAGAATGAAAGCCTCTCCAAAATACAACTTGCAGACCCAACTGACATGGGAGGACGTAGACAATTTAACCATCAGCACTAACACCTAGAATCGCATATGTGCTTCATACATGGCGAGGCTTGGAGCCGTTCGGTTCTCTTCTTGCCCCTGCCCTGGCGCTTCAGAATCACTGTGCCGACCTTCTGGGCTCCCTGCATAGTATCGTAGATGAAGCATGATAGGAACATCCTCCCAGCAAACAGGACTGCAGGCTGGTGTGTGTGTGGATCTCAGGCCAAACAGAGCTGTGCCGCTACCTCGCTGTATCCAGGCATGCCAAGTTCAGGTGCTGCAACCTCGTTGAGGCAAGACTTAACAAGGAAATGGTATACTATACTATAGTATATTGGGGCTAATATTGGGATAATATTGGTATATCACAGTATATTGGGTCTAATATTAGAAGCATCACATCTCGAAAGCTTCGAAGACTCCAACAGCTGCTCAGCTGGCCACTAACCGGCGCGAGAGTGGGGGACTCACGCAATGAACTAGATTGCCTCCGATGCCACAGCAGAAATGTGGGTTGGTAGTGCGCGGGAACAGGTGCAGGCTTGCAGACTTCTGGGAAAACCTATTATGGGGAGAGAGCTTGCAGGTGAGTGTGACACTGCAACAACTAGGTACAGGGAACATCCTACTAGGGACGGCAGTTCCTTCCCATCCACAAGCCCTGGTAATATGCATACATATGTGTATAAATAGATAGACCCGCCATGCCATATGTTTGTTCTATATCCTACACAAGTGCTACCTATTGACAAAAGACAAAGCACAGACAGAATTTCGTCTCTCCGTGTAAGCACGGATGCTATCCGCCGCAGCTGGTGGTATCTGGGATGGACTTCAACAGGTTGAGGCCCGGCCTACTCCCGGCCTAGACTAGCATCTTTGTTAAGCAGCTGCTTCTGATGTTGTGAATAGGATTCCCGTCATGCTCGCAAGGTGACATCGCAAGGACAACGTCTTGAACCGTCAAACCGCCTCACACGACCCTAGCCGGCCCGTGTTGAAAAAACCCTCGCAATCACTTGCAATCTGCTTGCGAGCAGTTGAGGGCCGGGGCTCAGACTGTTTGAAGTCCACTCAGCAACGGCCGTCATCGCTGAAGTTGCGGACCCGAACTCGCAGATTATCTCCAACACCTTTCAGGCTTCGTGGTTTCTGAAAGACTGCACGGGAATCCCCGCACTTGCAGCACATCGCATCCAACTGACAGCAAAAAACAAAAACATAGGCTTTGCAGCACCGTGTAGAACGTCCTTGAAGCCCAAGTTCACGAGCTAAACCCCGAATGTCCAGCGATGAGACAAAAGTATGAGCTTTTACCAAAATTCCTCACGGCACCTTTGTATGTGTAGTTGACATGCTCGGGACCGTACTAGTTCCATTTAGACTCAAGGCTCACTCCTTTTTCGCTTCAGCTCGCGTGACGGAGCTGCAGCAGGCCTCGCCTGCTTTGGGAACGAAGGAAAGGAAGAGAAAATGGAAACTACCATATTGGGCTTAGGGTTCATGGTTTCTGATGATTATCATTCTGACGATGTTCATTGCTAGCCTTGCTATTGAAGGTTTGGCGCGATATGTTTACTCCACACGGGCCGGTCCACCACAAGCTCGCAAGAAGGACCACAAGGAAACGCTCTGCGGGGACTGTTACCTGGTCTCAACAGATTGGTTGCGTGCCTGCGGTGTCGTAATAAATTACGAGCAAGTCTTGCCTGGTAAGTAGTGTTCTTTTGGTGGTTGAGCCCAGTAAGATGAGATCTTATGTATCAGATACTATACCCAGAAGGCGGATATGTTCTTGTACTATCTTGACTACCAGAGTACCCCAAAAAAATCCTTCTCTGTTGGAAATTCGCTGCTGGCACATTGATCTGGATGCCAGGCCTTCATACCACTGTGCTCACAGCTACCACCTTGCTATCAGTTGCTTCTCGGACCTGCTGCATGTTTGTGGTTAGCCAGCGTTTTGTAGCACATTGATACACCGAACTCTGCCTCACCCTCCCCTGCCTGAACGTCGCCTTATGCTCCTCTCGCACGCCCAGCTCAGCGACAAAGCGGCCTAGGGATTCTCTCCTAGCGGTTTATGGTCTCGTCAAATCCTCTGCTAAGTTAGCCCTGTTTTGGGATGGTCCAATCGGCTCTTGTTTTGGTGTTTCTAAGGCGGGGCAGGGGGGGCTTCGGCTGGTCGGCTGGGTTCCGGACATGGGGTGGAGGGGCTGCAGCCCTGGAGGGGGCTTGGGGGGGCGCGGCGGGCCCAGACGGCGGCCGCGGAGATGCGGGTTCCGGCTGCGCCACACTTGCCGAGGCAGTCTCGCGTTGAATTACAGCTTCTCGCTGCCTAAACTTATAGTTTCGCTCCCTCTTCTCACCCATCACGAGGTCAAGACCTGAAGCAAAGACTTGCTTGAGGTGAAAACACATCACTGAAGTCTCAGTCAAAAAACGCCTACTGTAGGCTACTGGCCGTGTCGAGGACTTTCGTTGGGGGGCTCGACAGCTATGCAGCCAAGAGTCTGATGTCTGAGGCATAGTGGTCTCTCAGGTCAGATGCTGAGCGGGCTAGCCTGAGAAGCTGGTGCTCGTATTGGAGAACAGCTGGGTCTCCAAGTGACCTGGAAGCACAGGATGATGAGTGACTATGTCAGCTGCTGGGTCATCTAGCTGTTAGAAGCCGAGGTGCGCCAACCAAGTCGACAAACATTCGTCCTCCCAAAAAGCTGCATGCCGAGGCTAGCAGAAGGGGGACACTTGTGGAAAAGGGCTCATCCCTTCACACCACACTAGACCCACTAGACTGACGAGACTCTCACTAGACCACAGTGCTTCAAAGGCCACGCCCCAGCCTGAAGTCGCTGTCTTTTGGAAGGTCTCGCTGTCCTTGCACTTGTGCAGTACTGGTGAGGCCAAATACACAACAAGGGCATGTAGGGAAGAGCCGGTCCCAAAACTAGGGCTCCTGTCATACTGCAATCCCCTGTTCGTTTCCGCCATTCTGTTAGCAGCGATTTCGGCCCAATGTAGCATGGTGCGAATGACAGATCTAAATGACTTTCCAGCGCAAACACAGTGCCCAGTCAGCCTCGCTGTTGCATGACTCGGAACAGAGGAGGGCGGTGGCATGCTTGGCACCCTCTCCACGATGTCCGCAGGGGCAGATATCGCCGCCGGTCTCTGAAGCAAGCCGCTGTGATGCATGCTGCCGGGCAGCACCTGCCCATCAAGGCATCAACTCACACAAGCCAAGATGCCTTCAGAACCCGGAGACCAAGTCATTAGCGGTGTCGCCTGGTAGATCAACTGGCGAGAAGCAGGCGCTGGCGGCACAAAACAAACCTGGTCGTGCAGCTTGAGCTCCTGCTGAGTGTTATGCATCAGCTTCACACCTTGGCACGGAGCTGTCAGCTTTTGGGGTGATCCTATTCAGCTCAAACCGAAGGTGCCAAACTGCCTCTTGTCGGAAACACATGTCAAGAAACAAAATGGAAGAAAGCATTGCAAAATTTGGCAGAGGATCCGTTGACCCAGGTGCCATTGGTGGATGTGTCTTGTATGGTCAGCTTCCATGTCGCTGGGATAGAGGACGTATCTCTAAACAGTCGTAAGACCGCATGCGCCTGCAGCTTCTGGAACATGTTCCTCTACGAGCCATGACACTGGAAAAATTGGCTTAAAAAGTCAGGGTTCGGGTGGGTAGAATATCCAGCCCAGTTTGTCTCCACCATGGGGCCTTCGAGACATGCACCAGCCGCAGCGCTAGCGGGCCATCCCTGCCGCAAACAGCGGCAGGCATGCTCGTAGTCACTAGCAGCACCTCGCAGATTGCGGTGGCTATGAAACGCTGGCCCGCAATGAAGCTTTTTAGGGCTGTGCAACGCGGCACTTGAGGAGATGATGATCTTCACGTGGATACTTCAACAATCCAAGCCGAGCAGCATGGCAAGGATATTGCAGGATCTGAACCAACCTGCCCTAAATGATAACCTTCTGGACCCCACCCTGCATCCTTGCGCCCAGACTCCCAGTGTCAGATCTTGAACTGCAAGCTTGAGACTCTAGACTCTTGAGCTCGTGCCGCCACTCCATTATGGCAGAAGCATATGTGCAAGTTTTGCTAAAAGAATCTGGATTGCCATCTTTACGCAAATCAGGCACAACAAAAAAAAAACTTGAATCATGATCTTCTGCTTCAATCCGGGATTACTCGGCGCATGATGCCCCGGTGCACAGACATTTCTGGTCTGCTCTTTTCCTGCAGCCTAGAAGAAAAAAAATACATATACATATATGGGCGCTTAACAGAATCAAAACGACGACCAAAAAAAGATGAAGAAGCACAGAATGACCTCCTGATGAACACAGGTTGTTTTGTTGCCATTACATTGCCACAATTCCAAAAAAAAACGAAAACCAAGCTGAGACAATCCGGAAGAACAAAAAGTGCAAAGGAAAGCACACAGCATGTGAGCCATTGTCTAAACTCCTAGTATCCCCCTTAATAAGCCCTATACTAGTCCCATATATAATCCCCTATATAACCCCCCTTTAAGGAGTTTAGACTATGGTTCATGTCAATTCTGTTGGATGAGGCCTCGGGAGGCGATGGGCTTGGCCATTCTGGGGCCCTGTCGCCGTCCAGGCGGCGCAGCACGAAGGCCGCCTCGTCATCCTCGAGTCTTGCTTCCATGCCCATCTCCTTTTAATCCACTTATCTAGCCTACCATGCCAGCGTACTTTCATATACTCTGGGCTGACTCATTCCGACAATATTCTCTGCTCTACATTCTCTATGTGCCAGCCTGTAAGATGTAGAGAACACACAATGCCGGGGACATGAAGAAGAACAACCAAAACTGAGCCGGTTCATGCAGACAGAACATTGACCTGGCGTATGTAGCGAAAAGCCTGTGAACAAACCATACCCTCAAAAGAAAGACAGCAGCAAATCCAGAAGACTGAACCTCCCATCTTGAGGTCCCACGAAAGTTAAATACTTCAGCTTAGTCCTGAAGAACTGGGAGGCTTTTCCTGAATCGAAGTGGTATTCAACTAAAATCTTGACGTCTTGCTCACTGAAAACTTGCTGGCCTGGACGCGCTCGCCACGGCAGAGCTGGGCCTGAGGTTACTGCACAGGCTGTGGTGCAAGGACTCGGCAGCACTTCCCATGCCTTCAGGACGTCGTAGTCCCGCAGGGTGCAGAGCACAGGGAAAACAGGATTCCAGTCTTGGCTCTCGCAGAAAAGGCAACGTCCTGCAAAAGATTTCAGGGTTCTTCAGCAGCCTTCCTTTTCCAACAGGACTAGCCCAGCCTGCGAGGGCCTCGTACATGGCCTAAGATAGGTCACTGCCCAAGTACAGCGAAAGGGATTGGGCAAAAGTGGCCAAGTCGCCTTTTTGTTTTATAACTTGAACACCTGCATGTCTGGTGCAAGTTGCTGAATCCGCACACAAAAACTTACACGGAACTGTCCTAAAACACCAGCAAGGAATCTCATTCACAAGGCTTGAATCAAGGCTCATCAATGATATATCAGCACAGATCGATCCCTACGAATCTCCAGAATAAGCTTTGGCTGGGGCCAGCCAAGAAAGAAGACAGAGGTCTTGAAAGCCCAGCAGCACGAGCTGCAGAAGGCTGGTTGAAAAGCGCCAGAAGCACGGCTCGGCCCGGCTCGCTGAGCACCCGCTCGAGCATCACCAGCCTTTGGCAGAAGACTAGAGGATATAGGGAATATGTTGGGGTCATATTGGGATAATGGAAATGAAAATGGAAACTACTATAATATATAGGGGGAATAAGGTCATCAGCCTTTGGCAGAAGACTTGAAGGCTGCAGGTTACGGAGGATGGACGGTCTTCAAGTCTAAATCTTCATGTCAGTCGAAGAAGAAGCAGATCGGACTGCCACGTTTGTAGAGCCAAAGCGACGAATACCGACTAAGTCATATACATTCAAAGTTGGATTGCAAGCTTCTCTCAATCCGATCCTATCCGAGAATCTGATAACTTGCCAGAGGCACTCCCCAAAGAGTTGGAAAAAGCGCTGCCAGTGGCTATCCGGGCATAGTGCCGACACAGCGTTGCTGGCTTCCTCGACCATGCCTTCAGGCTTGCGTGGCAAGACTTACGTTCCTCGTTTTCTGAAGACTTCAAGTTCTCTTTGCGAAGCTGTCACTTCACTTGGAGTCATCTCTACAATTCAGATACACGCTTCCAGAGAAGGAGGAAGTCTGGAGCCCTCCATGGCAAGACAGTATAACATCGGTCACAGGTGATCGCCCTGGGAAAACGATAGCCTTCAGATGTATCACGCGGGGCCTGGCCCCAAACCCCCTTACATGGGGCCTAAAAGTGGAGATGGTAGCTAAAAAGCCGCCTGCAGGTATCCAGGAAGCTGGCAGCTCCAGGGCCAAGCCAGGGCTCTGCTCATTTTCCCAGAGTCGATTGGCCGCTTGGCGTGCCCTGAGAAGTGATCAGCTTCCCGTTATGCAGGTTCATCAGCACATGCACTGCTATTGTGACAAGCATGAGATCCCCGGATGATGCAAGGCCTCCTGACAACGACGACGCAACCATGAAAGCCATGCAGCTCTGATACCAAGCCGTGTCATGCCGATAACAGCCAATGCTGGATGATGCCGGTCATGATGGCAATGAAGATTACGATGCTAGTGCCGACCCTGGCCCCTGGCGATGCTGATGGTGATAATTGTAAATGGTAAACGAGCACAAGCGGTGACAAATTGAAAAATGGTGAATGACAAAGATGGTTTCGTGGGCCCGGTAACATGGGACGCTGAATGAATGGTCACGAGATACTAGAAACTGGAAACTGAAAGGAATATGAGGATGCTGATGCCTGTGGAGGACAGCAAACGAACGATTACAAAGGGGGCACAGAAACTGGCAAGCATAGTAATGTCATTCGAAAACCTGCAACGATGGGAATCATAGAAGGTGGATGCTTAAGATCTAAAAAAGATAGTGACCAGCGCTGATACTGAAAATGGTCACACCGGATGAAGGTGATGTCACTGACGCCAATGCAGCTGATGATGGTGGCGGTGGTGGTGGCGCTGACGATAATCTCATGCGCCGTATCAATGTAGAAAAATGTAGTACCGGTCTGGATCAATCATCCCAGACAAAGAGATTTGTATGAACCTTCAATCCCGACAGACGCAGGTTGCTGGGTGAAGGTCCAGCTCTGGAGGTCCTGTGACAGTGGCATGTTACAAAGCATATTTAAGACTATGCAAATCCCTCCCAACACCCAACAAGCAACAAGCTGCAGTGCCCAAAAACCTAGCCTGCCGTGAGACTTCTCTGGGCTCAGGTCCGCCGAGTCGAATGCGCCTCTCCAGTTTGCCCAGGCCTCCAACACAGGTCGGCAGGCTTTAATGCCCTGTCTACAAATCCAGGCAAGTGACCCTCAGTTCTCTACTGTAAACGGTGGTGCGTAAAGCATGACCGAGTGCCAACGACGGGATGTCTGGGTCTTAGTACAGACTTCACAAGTTGGAATCAAATGCCAACCTGGTCCTCAAGGAGGCTGCGTTTCGCGGGCCAATGCGCACGCCGCATAGACTCGCATGCAGACCTCGCTGTACCATATAAGCAGAGATAAGTCCTGCAGCAAACCAAAAGGGTCTGAGTCATAACATCATGTGATCACGTGCATGTGTTCGGCTGATACAAGTCTTGAAAACTACTCCCTGACACTCGACACATCAAATGCATCAGTAACATGCAAGCTCATGTCCTTCCCCTACGGCAAGACGATTATGTTCCGAATACAACTTGCAACTTGTAGGCAATTTTGGTGTCCAAACTGGGCAGAGCACATTCTGCTGTCGTTTGTCACAACTTCACAGCCGGCGCTACACACGGCAGTAAGAACGCCAAAGGAGAGACTCCCTTGCTCTACAGAGGTCTCCCTCACATGTACCAGGCTAGAGCTGGCGAAGGTGAGGAAGCACAGAAATCAGGCAAAAGCAGCTCCCAATCTTGACCCAGGCGCAGCTCACCAATAACGTGGGCGTGCAGCAACCTCCGGCCTAGAGGCTATCAAGCAGGAATGGAATTCCCAAATATTCCCAAGAGCCCCTGCACTGCAACAGTTTATGACGATTGTGCACACCACATCACAGGGCGACGCAAAGCCTGAAGCTCCAAAGTGCCTTCACAAACGTCCGACGAAAGCCTCAAGACTGCAACCTGAATCCGTCAGTCAGAATGGGTACTGCTGAAATGTGTGGCCCCTGCTTTCACAGAACTGCACAACTTCAAAGGCTATAGAAGATCAGCTCAAGACATGTTACGGAAAAATCCTCGCAACAGCAATCACTGACAACTCTAGAAAGAAAGGCAAGCAGTGCGGCGAGAGCACGAGTTGTCTGCCAAACTTGCTTCCAGTGGACAGCGGCCAGAACTGGCAGAGGTCTGGCTAAGTTTTCATGGTTCTTGTAGGGTATGTTGAGTTGTGAAGGATTCAGGGTTGTAGCTTGCAGGAAGAAGCGATAAGCGTATGCATGATTAACAATACTGTCTTGGGGAATCTTCATATTGAGTATGCTGCTACTCTGGCTTGGATGCAGCCGAAATCCACAATCTTGGCTTTGATTGTTCACCTGATGCCACTATCGTTTGGCTGCAACACAGGGCGTTTCTCGTATCACCATGAATGTCCACCGAGAACACCAAAGCGTTAGTGGACCTGACACTGGACCAGTTGTCGTTAACACGGGTCCTCATGCTGACGCCCACCCCTCAAGCAAGATGCACTACACCAATGATCAGCAAGAAAAGCTCATCTGGCTACAGGTCTGAAAAGCAGGAAGCGTAGCTTGTCGACTGCTAGCGCTCTGATGTTGTGGATCCAAGCTTGTTGCAAACTTGCTCCGATCCAGACAATTAAACCTTAGAATTTCAGAATTCTCGGTCCCACATCCACCAAGACACCACAGCTCCCAGCGAAATCGCTCTGCAAAGCTGCCCCTGCTGCCTGCACGGCTTTTGCTTGTACAGCAAGACTGGAGGCAACGGAGTTGGTCAATCCGAAGCTCATATCACAGCCGATTCAATGCCGTATCTAAGGCTCCGAATCTTCAACTGGCTTGAAATGGCAGTGCTCAGTCGGCGCCTCCAGCAGCCTCGCCCACCTTGCCTCATCTTCACAGGGCTGTTCGAAACTTGCCTGTCAGGCAAGGAATGGGTGGATTCTAGCATACGTTGCAGCTTGCAGCAGCAGTTTTTTTTACCAGCCTCTAGAACTACCACCACCGGCGCCAGCAAGCACACCGCCCTCAGCCAGGGAGTGAGCGAGGCATGCCAGCATCAAAGCTAATGTCGTACAAGAAGGCTACATAAGACCTAGACGCGCTAACTGCGCTACCCCTCCCAGAATGCTAACTTGCAATTGCCCTTGAATCCTCGGAGCCAGCCAAAGCCCTGGAATGTTCTTGCGACTATTCCTGACCCAGTTGCAGAAGTGCAAGTTTTTTTTCTGGAAAGGTAGCTGCTTCAAACCAGTCAAGCAGCTCAACGCCTTCCCAGGTGCCCCAGCGCCCGCGCCATACGAGCCCTAAATTGTCTTCAACTCCCATGGCATCCACATGCCAGAGCCATCTGACCGAGCTAGGCAGTGCTCTAATTTTGTGCGGGAAGTGTGGGGTATATGCTGATGCTCCTAAATATTATACTAGTTTCTATTTTCTTTCCCCCCAATGTATAACCCATTTTCAGCCGTGCCAGCCATGGCAAGGCTTGCTAAAGTTAGCCTCCAAGTTCGCTCGGTGAAAAGTAGCGAAATGCGCTCGCTTGGGTATCTTTAATCAAGTAACCATGCCAGCGATGCAAGCTTTGAAGTGAGAAGTCTCACCTTCTAAGCTTGAGCATAATAAGCCAGTCCAACAAAGCCCAACACAAGCAATGCTGAACACAGGTGACCGCTGAGACAAAATAGCCGCGCTAACTTGGGATGCCTGAAAGCTGCTATGTGCATTTCTAGACGAAGTGACCTTCTGCCATTCCGCACACGCGCCTGTGATGCGTTGAAGCTCTCCAGGCCAGTCACCTCGAAGAGAAGCCCAATCGTGTACGTGAAACGAACAAAAATCTGAGCTGGGTGTGTGGCTGTGACGTTCACCATGGTCCCGCCACTGGGTGGGCCCTCCATGGGCTGCAGCTGCTGCGTCTTCCTGATGCATCGGGCAAATGGAAAAAGCTTCGAAGATGCCTATAGATGCCTATTTGCAAAGCTATGCTAGATGTTGCAAGAGTCACAGTCATGCAAGTATTGGATGCTTGAAGGGTAGGAATGGGTAGTCTCGACTTAGGACGCCACAGCAGCGCATCCAGAGTGGCAGTCTCAGGGGCGTGAAGTTGCAAGATCCCGATGTGGCTCAGTCTCAACTTTCTTAGGTGCCCACATCGTTGGCCAAACCAATGGATAGCGTGAAGTCGTTGATGAAGCCACTGGGCATGAAGGCCTCAACATCAGGTCAGGTTGAATCTTTGGCACAATAGCAAGATCCAATCTGGAAGAGCTAGCCTTGACCTGAATGCTGTCGAAGCCGTCATAGGGCAAATACAGCACGTTGTCAGTGCACCTGGCAAAGGCTCACACGCCAGCCGGCAATCGGATCCCGGCCAGCACAGGCTTGGGACCAGAAGCCCCAATTGATGGCCAGTGAACACGCCTCTTGTACGTCAAGCTGGGCAACCGAGATGCGACCTGGTTCTCACGAAGGTATGCGCGGCTCCGAGCAACATGACCGTAAGCCCACGACATCTTCGCACTCCCCGGTAAAGATAGCCCAGTCCTGGCTCGCATGCATGCCTTACTTGCCTTCCAGCCGAGTAGCAAAGTGCAAACGGAAGCTCTGCTCAATTTCTCATCTACAATCTGCTGCTTGCATCTTCAGCACCTGAGAAATGTCCTGGACAGCTTACCTTCCCATGTTTGCAATCATGCCTTTACATTGACAACGGATGGTTCTACGCCCTGCAGTAATGGGCACTTTTCAAAGCTGGAATCAAGGCTTATGGATGCTATTCACTTGTTTGAGTGGTGTTGCTGAGGAACTGCCGTACTCCTCATGGGAACAAGACTTATTTCAAGAGCATAGCTGCTTAAGAGCATTCCTGGCTGTCGTCCCCAATGACGGAGCGGCCAACGGACCCGACATATGTGGCCTGAATCGCCAAAATGGCATAGCTATGGAGCCTAGCTGAAGTAAATGCAGTGCAGCAATACACAAACTTGCTTTGACTAAACTCGCCTTGCAGGATGATTAGCACAAGCTTCGAACCGCACTAAGAATTGCATAGCTTTCTGCAGCTTCCAGCTGAGGGGTGCACTGCAGCCGGCTGACTGTCCGTGTTGCTGAATGGGTCCTTGAAATCGCTGGGACACCCACCCCATGTCCCACGCGGCAACTTGGGCTACATCACTACCTCAGGACTGCGGCGGGGGCGAGGATGAACCCATTCAATGCTCGAACACGGACCTGCATAAACGTCACAGTGGCCATGCAGAGTCATGCTGGTGGGCAAGACAAAACCCAGGCACCTCTGTGCTTCCGCTGACGCCAGTACAATTCAGGCCAAGTCCAGATATGGTGGAGTCCCTCAGGGAAAGCACTTCATCAGGACTTCTTCACCCACTAAGCCAAGTCAGGCCCAGGCCAGCAGGTTGGGACTCTGCCAAAGACAGGAGCTAACACAGCTGCAGAAACAGCCAAACGCCACATCTGTATCCTGAGCAGCGCACACTTACAGCTTAGTTCTCCCACACTCACTCAGCGCCAAGCACGTGGACTATGATTGAAGTACCACTGCGAACATGTATTGGGCGCAGGCGGATTAAAGAAAGATGGCGGTGTGCCGCCTCAATTGCCTGCACGAGCTTGCTGTTTTCTCGCAGAATAGGCTTCACACACAACACCTTCCAACAATAAACGACAACATTGCCTGTGATGCTTCGTGTCTTCGCCAGTGGCAGCAACGTTGTGCGGAGACCACGGCTTCAATGATTTTAAGCTTTACAGTGATGATAATGATGATGGTGGCAAGATGCCTGGTTTGATGCCTCAAGCTGACAGCCTGGCTTGTAACGCCGCTTGCTGTGGGAAGGAATTGCCGGAGCATGATATTCGGGTACAAGTGCACTGGCGCTGCACGAGCTGGATTTCAGTTGGAGTCCATGACGACGTTCGTATGAGGTTTCAAACATAAAGCATACTGTCTCATGCAAGCGATGTCAACAACGTCCCACATCGCTGAATGCTGCCTGTCCTTATTGCTTGCCACATGTTGCCACGTCAGCGTCATGCTGCCACGCGGCCTTTAGTTGCCCCATTTCAATCACTACCAGGAGCCGCTGCATCCCCTCATGCTGATGGTGTGGTTTGTTGTGGCTTTACATTTTACATGGCCAGATGGAAACCCAACAAGTGACAAACTTGACAGTGGCAAAAAACAACACGTCATAGCCTTGAATACCATCAGGTGCAGCGGCAGCCGCAGCAGGAGCAGCAGGAGCAGCAGGAGCAGCAGGAGCAGCAGGAGCAGGAATAGCAGCAGCCGCAGCAGCAAACAAACAAAACAACGGTTGATTTGGTCATAAGAAGCTCTAAAAACCAAGGTGAACAACTCCAATGATATTGACGGTCCAGCCTGCAATCCACACCAAGCATCCCAGCCTCGGCACGTGTGCAAGAAGGGGTTGATCGTGCAAGGTGGAATACGAGACCACAAATGTTGCAATGGCCACGTCTCCCACAAAAACTACATCAAAGTTGCTGACAAAGGAGCATTTATCCTGGGGGCCTTCCTCAAAGGTAGCCCACACCAGGCGATGCTGGGAAAGGGTGCTTGAGCCAAGCTAATGAGGGTAGTTGATCGCAACCCAAGCCGCGATAAAAACATGGTTACTTTGAAACCAAATACTGTAAATATTGCTTCAGCAAATTTAGTAAGTGCAGCCCAACGGCTTAATTGTTGATGTGATTGCATTTGGCAACAAAACAATACAAAAACAATCACACAGGGCAGCTCTGCATGTCGGTTGTTCAGGTTCAACATAAACCAAAACATTCTCTCATTTGTTCAATTGTCCAAAAATGGCGGTCGTTGTGCTTCTTATGCGGCTGCAGCAACGCTGTTCTTGAACTTGGAAACTTCAAGAATTGAATTGGCTGGGCAACAATCAACAGATGATGAAATTTCGCAACTTCTGTTCCACGTCTTACACTTTATTGTACACAGAGTAGGACTTCCAAAGCCTTCAGAACCTCTGAGCATTTAAAGCGCGTAACAGGTCTTAGGTCTAGATTCAGGCTGAAGGGTTTCATTTAAAGATACTGAAAAAGGATTTGGGCCGCCGATTCGCCTTCAAGCCCTTCTTAAGTCAAGCAAAATGGAGACACCGACTTTGTTCTGGTCAAGTGGGGCTTCTTTTGACCCTTCTTCTCTTTTACTCCTTTCTAGTTACATAAGACGGAATCAGGACACTTCTTAGAACACTACTCCGGTTGAATAGTCTTCTACAAGAAAACATCTAGTCTGAAAGTTGATCCGCGCCTGCACTGTACTTTCGGAGAACTTTCATTTGGGCGGCAGCTCGTCCAGCTGTGCAGAGCGATGCATGCTGGCAACGCCATTTTGAGCTATGCGTCGCCATGCCGCCTCTTTTCTGCGATGTGAGCTCACGTAAACATTATCGAGGGAGTGGAGGGTGGGCCAAAACTTGCTCGTTCGAGTCCATGCTACAGAAGCAATGCATACGTCTATGCGAAAAAAGAAGTTTAAACATGCATGAGAGAAAGAAAAGTTACATGTCACGTTCAAATAGCAAGACTAAGCAGCAGGAAATAAATATCGTTTTGGTCATCTGTTTGCACTCTCGATTTCAATGCAGAAAGTAAATGAATGTTCGCGTCCCCTAAAGAGACAGAGGTTCAAATGCATTCAATCAAATGGGTTGTGCGTGCGCCTAAAAGGAAAGTGCTGAGAAGATCAAAGACCTAGCCCGTCACTATGTGGAGTAATAGCTATAATCAAAGACGCTCTTTAAGACGGTTGCCACCAAGGAGCCTTCCCCTTGGACTGCTTAGGACAGCCATCCGCGCTGCAGGACAGCAGATGCCAGACGAATCCAAGCGCGTGCGTGTCGTAGAGCGACCAGAGAAGACAACGATTAAGGTCTTTGAAAACAAGCCCGTCATTTCTGGTCTCCACGCAAGAAACCGAAAGTCCACCATGCTGGAGTATCACAACGACAGGCGATGAGTGCTGCCCGTGTAAAGACATGACCCGGGCGGCAAACTGGATCTCACGGAGGTAGTGCGGCAGGCGTTGAGAACGCAGAACCTGCCACAGTTCCTGCCAAGTTTCCAGTTGATTCCGACTATGCTGAGGACCCTAAGCGAGAAGTGCAGTTGCGAAAGTGGCGGCCCTCATCGTCTACCTGCAGCTGTCCACCAACACGCGGGAGGTCCCTTTCACCGATGACCAGTGCGACGCGTTGGCAACAGAGATCGGAGCCTTCGGCCGAAAGCTGACGTACGACTACCCCCTGTGCAAGCTGGTTGTGAAGGAGCGCTGCTGGGTCAAAATCGGGCGTCCAGGGTGCTGCCTAGGTGCTGTAACAGCGGCTAGATGGTAGTTGGGAGCGCCACGTGGTAGAGATCCTAGAGGACAAGTTCAACATGTCTGAGCTGGTGGTAGTGGACCCACTTCCTTTGAAGAGCGGGCTTTGTTCTGTAGCTTTTTTTTGGTTTGTCTTTGTCTTTTGGAGTTGCCGTGTGGGCAAATGCAGGACCTCGCTGCCAAGTCGTGCAATAAGTCCGTGCCGAGGCTTCGTGGAGCTGGCCCTGGAGATTCCGGAGATTGCCGGATAGCTCAAGCCAGATCGACAAGTGGTATAAGAAGAAGATCCAGCCCGTGTGTGTGTTTTTTTTTTCCGCCGATGAGCAGCGTGATAGATTTGTTGTCTAAGTGGTATCAGAAGCAGAGGTGTGTTTCTTTTTGCAAAGCATGTTTTTATACGTTTTGCAGTTTCGTACGTTTGGGAACTTACACTACAGTTTCGTGTCCGTCGTTCTTTTGTGTATTCGAACCCGCTGCGTGCATGCTGTGTGTGGGCAGCAAGAAAAAGCAATTCGATTCTAAATGGTCCAGGTCCAAGGCTGCTACAGCTTGACTGATGGGAACGTGCTCAATATGCTCAGGAAAAACCTGCCCTTGCGGCACGTGTGCCAAGGCTTCACGCGCCTTCTTTTGAAACTTTTGGACTGCACGGAGCATAAAGGTACAGGCTGTCTCTGGAGTACAGAAACCCGGAGGAGCTGCTTTTTCAGGTCATGTACAGTACAGATGCTGCGTCAGGACGCCGGGGCCTTGGCCTTTGCACATCACGCTTAAAAGCCTTCAGACGTTGTTTTTCTAGTTTTTTACGCGGGGAGGGGGCGAAACGGACAGATTGGCTTGAAACCCTGCAGTCTAAGCCACATCCAAAGCAGCCCAAAGATAAAAACGGAGAGCGTGTCTCTGGCTGCTTGTTGTGGTGTGTCTTGGACAGGAGCAGTGCAACCACGCAGAACTGACTCTTGTAAGTGTGGCTCTTGCCCATTTTGATAGCTTTGATCACCTTGCTTTTTCTTTTGGACGAAGCAAATGACAGCATGTGGTATGAGAGCCTCCCGAGAGCCGCGAACCCGGCCGACCTGCCTTCAAGATCAGCTGCCAGTGAGGTTTGCACGCGTTTTGATTGTGAACACGAGGGTGATGTTGCTTTGACATCGGAAATGCATGAGCTCTTGAGGGAGCGCGTCCACAATATCTCTGGGCAAGGCCATCTATTCCGCCGTGCGTGTTGAAGCTGACATGATGCCAGACGTGTTGCCTGGTGGAGGAGAAGAAGGGACTTCAATAGACGGGGGCATTTGGGCCTGAGGCTGTGATCTCCTGCTTGCCTCATTCACGGTTGCACAGCATGTTCGACGTCTCCCCGGCTCCTTAAAGGATGCCTGCTGTCAGCTGTGTGCGTTTCGTTGATGATCCTGAACTTTCTGCATACACTTACATTTTTGGAATAACTCTTGAATATTTGACTGAAATATTTTTGGATCACATTGAATGCCGTTGTGATGCACGACTTTCTTTGCTTGAACGTTGAATGGAGGCAATTGTCATATTGGCCCAACTTTATCTGACACAGATTTTATGTATATGATGGTTTGATATGTTTCTCTGCTAAGCAAACGGACAGGCATGCAATTCATTTCAAACAGCCACGCTGATTGTGCAAACTTGTGAAAATTTTCGACTTGCATTGGCGCTCAGTTCGGAACAGGATTGATTTTGACAATGTATCTACTTGGCATGCGTAGCCCCGGACAACAAATGCATTATTCGACATTTCAGGTAAGATCCTGTGGGCACAACTTCAATTTCAGGAGTATTTGTTGCATTAATCTGGATGCCAATTCATTTTTTCGTTGCAGTCAAGTAATTCAGACAAGTTCGCTTCAGGAGTGTTTGTCAAAAGTCTGGCTTGGCGCATCTTCTTGCACGCTCCGCGGCAGATTGACATGTTAATTGACCGTCGCACATGTGCGCGCCATAACCACTGCCAGTATTCATGACACATGGTGATGATGGATTTGCATATTTACAAAAATATTTCAGGCAAACACATTTCACAATGTCAGATTTTTTTTTGTACCGCCTGTGGTTTGGCTTCCAAATTTCCTGTCGAGATGATGTGCTGTTAGTTTGGGCCGAGCCTCGTTGTGTTTGCCAATCTGTTTTGTTGAATGTTTTTGAAATGTATCTGGACGGATGCGTGATTCCGGGCCAGTTTCTTGTGTGATGTTTCGCCTTTTGTTATCACATTTTGCACCGTTGACTTCGTTTTGCAGCCAAGCTGCATGGTTTGCTCTGCCAGCTTCACTGGCCCAATACAGTACATGGTCCAAAAGCAATCCATGGTACCATGGACTGGGGCTCTATTATTTGGATGCAGGCAGGCACACAGTGCTTCATAAATTATGTGATGGGAAAAGTTGCACGTATGACATCCGGTTTGGTTGTGGTTGGCATGTCTGACATCAATACACCAGCCAAAAGGATTAGCATCCATATCCAACGTTTCCTTGCCGGTTTGGCCATGGAATAAAAACGTCAACATGACAGGCGCGGGAAAACAGAGTGTGTGTATGCGCAAACAAGCATGAACATGAATGCGCCCATTTAGCTTTCACCTGTGGTTTGCTTTCTGTCCAGGTTGCAATGCGTTTGGCGCAGATTTCCTACGGTTGTGCCAAGAAAATGATGGGATGGCTTTGCACAAGCTGCATGGTGCTTAGTGCTTATGTTCACAACTGAGCATCTGTTTGTCTGTGCCAAGCATGCATGAATAAGGCTCCAGACGACTGCTAGCAAGCGACCTTCAACAGCTGATTTGGAGGCCCTTGTGGTACTTTAGGCTGGTGTGGTCAAGCGCAAATGCTACAGCAGGATCTCAAACGTGACGTTGTCGGGAAAAGCATCGGTGTCGCCTGGCGCGAAGGCGACACAGGTGAAGGCCTGTCGTTTGTGAGCAAACTGATGGGGAAGGATTCCTGAACCTACCTCTTGGTGCTTATTATGTTCTTGCTTAAGGCTTGGAGTTGTTTTAATCCATGTCGTACCCATCAGTGCTTCGCCCCTTACAGACAGACGTGAGAGACCTTGGGAGGTTTCGAAGCCAATCTAGAAGCCTTGCGGTTGTGGGCCAAAAGGCCGGCCTGCATTTTGCATGGGGAGCTGCACAGTATTGATAGCTTGGAGTGAATTCAACAGGTACCTTGACAGGAATGACAAGGTGCGATGGATGTTGGCGCCAATGCCTCTCAGCTACATTCCCTTTCCAGCATTTGGATCAAAGCAGTCGTTGACGATGTGCCTGTGTTACTGAAGCATGTGCAGCCCATTTCTCACTTAGCTGAATACATGATTTCTTCTTGTGCATTGGATGAGGCTGTGGATGGCAGCCAGGACGAGGCACTGGGACTTTTGTGTCTACTAGCTTGCCATCTGCGTGGCCAGCAGAGCCACATGCTGATTAGCGTCACATGTTGGCACAGATCGTGTGATGTTTCAAAAGTTCATCCGTCCTCGCATGTCCTTTCTTCAGTTTTTTCTTCATCGTTCGTGTGTTGTCAAGGCAGCTGGCTGTCACCCTGGACAAAGCAGAGGATCCTTCCAGGAACACCTCACTGACTGCATTTGTACGGGTACTATGAGGGTAGACATGAGCACATGCTGCAGGTACCGCAACAAACTGGTGGAGGCAGCTTGTCCAGAACCTGCAGATCGGGGCATGAGGGTTTTCCTGCAGGAGTTGCGAACCCTCTTCACCAAGCTGCACCAGGACAGAGCCAGGAGGGAAGTGGGAAACCCAGGAGCATTTTCACATGCAGCTTAAGCTTTCTTGTGCACTCACATTGTCAGGGGGCCTTGGTTATGTGCTGCGAGCTCCTGAGATTGTACAGGAACCTTGGACAGGCTCTCTTAACGATGGTTTGGACATGCAAAAAGTTTGAGAGTGACTTATCTGATGGCAGGCATCACAGTGCCCGTTCGTTCTCACATCTGTGGGTCGCAGCCTCAGCAGGCTTAGCTTGGCACCTTAGACGATCAAATTTTCAAGCAAACGCTTGGATCTGAGGTAATATTCTGCGAGAGGATAAGTGGGACCCTTGCTACGCCAAAATGAGCAGCTCTCCACTTCTTTCTGGCGTGGTGCAAGGTTTGATCCGAGCAGGATCCCGAAGTCCATGCTTGTGACACTGTGACTTTCCAGCAAATCAAGTTTGCCGCCATCCTGGAGACGCATTGTTGAACTTGCTTGTCAGAGGTACTTCCTTTGGGGAAAGCACCTCGTGCTGGAAGGCAAAATCATTGAGGTCAGCCGGGCAGCCATGTCCGGCTAATGCAAGCTAGTAAAGCCACCATATCCGGGTAAGCATTCCGGTCAGGTTGCAGAGGCCTACGTAGTTCATTTTCCCGCGCCCCAGTGCTGTATTTGCGCTGCTCATCGTTTGTGGGTTGAGGGCTTTTGTTAGTCGGGTAGGGCACTGTGCGGCGAAATCGCAGATGGGTTTGAATAGAAGGAGGAATGTCCTAAACTCAGCATTCCAATAAACCGTTTTAGATTTTAGGAAAAATCAATCCAGATGGAGAACATCTGACATTTGACAGCTTTCCTCTTAAGCCTGCCCCATACACGCTGTTCGCGATGCCATGCATATCAACAGCTATATTCAGTGACCGCAGGGTCACAGGTTACATTCATTTTCATGCCGGGCGTTGTTGACCAATTCGGTAAATGTGAGATTTTAGAAGTCTAGACGCAGGCCAACATGAGGTACAAAGCTACACAAATTGCTCGTGACAGGCAGAGGAGAAGCTGTCAAGTGCCTTGACGCTGTGTCCTCCGAAGGTCCCGACTTCGGCAAGTCAAGGGAAGTTTCGGCTTGTCTATAACCATACGAACACATGCCCATAGATGGATCTTGAATCCCGGGCAGCTCAGCAACCGAAACCCAAAGGGCAAGAAAGAGAGCCCATGAGTTTCCTGCTTTTTGTGTTGTGAGGGAACAGAGGTCTGGATCCTTTCTGACACAGACATTCTGTGCAGTCTTGTCCTTCCTAGCCCAGCTGAATTTCTGGGAGGCTGCCGGCAACCGACAGCGGCAGTTGCCCTAGTTGCCCTGTGACGATGCGACTATCATCCAGGAATTTTGGAAGCTGCAGGATTTTAGCATACTTGATTCCCTGTCGACTTCGGCTGGGTCGGTATCCAGCACGAGGCCACTGTCATCGTTTGCACAAGTGCCTCTCTTGCAACAAGTTCTTGTGCAGGAGTTCTGGAGCGGAACGGGCTTGAAAGGCAGGATATGTGTTGCTTACATTCTTTGACGGTGTGTTCTAGAGCCTTTGCGCTCTGGAGCCAACTCTTGTCTGAGTGCCATCTCTTGATGTGAGCATGATGTCCACTTTCCTTCAGTTTGGCTGGGCTGGTGGTGGCTACAGCTGCTGGCAACGTGCGCCGGTTCAATGAGGATGCAGTGAGAATCATTTCATCTTATTGACCTAAGACCTTACCTCTGAAATTCGGCTGCATGCGAGCAGGAGCTTGTTCGGCAGGCGCTGGATCTGTCTAACGAAGACTCCTGCTCATGTCTGAAACTGGAGGAAGCAGACCTCATTACTCTGGGCACCTATCTTGTGATTGCCACCTCCCCAGCAGAAACAGGGATTTTCATCAACTTGTGACCTGGGACATTGCTGTCACTGTATCAGGAGAAGCTCAAGGTAGTGGCTTATCGGAATTTGACCAGACACGTGCTTGGTCCTCAGCAAACTTACTCCTGCCTTGTGACTTCAAGCTCTTGGCCAAACTGCAGTGCTGCCAAGGTTTGATCATCAAAGCGAAAAGCTTGAGCCAGCTCAGAGGGTCAAGCAGGTTCAGGGTGCTGCTGCAAAACAATCTTGGAGTTGTGACATGGCTGCGTTGCCAGGACTTTGCGCCCTACGAGCGTGCTTTCCGATGGCAGGATCCCAGATGCCTAAGGGAGCCCCAAATAGCAAGTACGGCGGGCTAAGAGAGAGCATGCTGACGGCACCAACAATTTGGCCAGTTTTAGGTACTATGCTAAGCTTGGCCCTGAGATGCTTCTATTGTACCCTGAAGCCTGGGATTCTTATATACCTACTACATACCTAGGGTCCTTAGAATCCCCCTAAAAGTCCAAGGGCCCATGTTCGGGGCCCATGCTTCTAACCTTAGATCTATCCTTGAGGGTCCAAGGACCCAAATAATAGGGTTTTACGGCCTAAATACTATAATATTAATGGTGTCTGGGCCCTAAAACCCGATTCTTTAGGTCCTTGGACCCTTAGGGTACTGTACCCTTTGACAGCTGGCATTGGCATTCCCACCCTGGGCTCGCCGGCCTTGCATCACTCTTCCCTGTACTGTGGAATGGTGGAAATCTTGCACCGGCGTATGTTTATACATATATATATATATATTTACATGGATAATGTATATGTATATATATATATTGTTACTATATATATATATTGTATATGTATGATATATGGCCTATGCACGGATCTACAGCACTTTGAGGATTCTATGTGGTGCAAGATTTCTTCCATCCACGGTCTCACGGTGCCGGGATACGAAGTCTTGGGGCAGGACGACTGCTCCGAAGATGAGACTTTGTGCTTGTTGGCACATCTGGTGCGCCCCACCGGGATTTCAACCTTTCTGCTGCCGTGCGGTGCTGGTTCTCTGCATTTTGCAAGATCTATATCGGAGCGGTGAAGGGCTATCTCTCCGACCAGCGTCGCAAGATAGTCTTCTCGAAGGCCGGCGCTGCTTTCCAGTGGAATGCTTTCATGCTAGGAGGTGGTTCATCATAGAAGTGGGCTCCATCCGCATTGTGCTGGAATCAGCTGAACTGTCCATGCGTGATTGGGAAGGAGACGCCATTTCCTGCTGCCAAGATCTGGGCCGGGAAGGCATAGCCAGGCCTCCGATGCATTCACAATTAGGATGATTAGGAGCAGCACGGCAAGGGTGCACATGAATGTTGCGCTGCCGCATCTGCTGTTGACTGCAGGTTGCACATCAGATGCGACTCCAACCAGCGGCGGACAATCATAAAACACACCTGCCTGAATGCATCCGTTCAGTGTAGATGCTTTGCCTGAGCATCAGTGAGAGCTGTCTTGAACTTGCTGCTGTGCACTCTTGAGACACTAAAGCTGAGCCATCACGGCCTTTAGGTGAGCGACTGCACGCGCACTAGACTAGAATTATCCAGAATGCTTTCTAGTTATCTACTCGATGACCGTCACCGTGACAGAAGCAGATACCTGCGATTCTCTCCATGCCAGTCTTGTTTGTGTCTACAGCTCGGTAGATAGAGAAGTGAAGCACCTCATCTTCAGAAATGCAGAAAGTCCAACGAGACCATGTGCTCAGCGTGGATCCGCCGTCTCTAGATGAGATAGAGGAGGCCACAACCTCAAGGGTTTGCGCCCCTGAAGCTTAGTAAGGCTTAGTGCAGTTTCACTTGGATCCGTCTAGGCCTGCCGACAGCGCGAGGAGAAGAGCCGGAACTACACAGGGAAGAGGTGGTCCCATGGATGGAGCATTGATGGCTGCCCTTACCTGGAAGCTTCGTCGCAGTTCCTCCACCTGGCCGCAGAGAAACCACCAGCTACCGCAGCCACAGCTTGTGCCCCTGCCTGGGCGCCCAGCTATCCCTACCCGCAAGCCTTGCGCGGGCCTCTGGCACATTCTACGCAGAAGAGGCCACCTTCCAGCCTGGTTGAGGCGGTGGAAGCTTCAAGCTCAACTTGCGGAACGCTCCCGTGCCCACCTCTCCCGGAAGACGTGCTGCAGTCGTTGGACGACTTGTCAGAAGCACTGGGGAGTTTTGACCAAGCAGGCTGGATTCTCCAAGCATCTCCAAGCCATCAGTGCGGCAATGAAGCAGGCTAAGATGAAGTCTACTTGCATTTATGACCGAATTTGCTGAATTGATCTCACGTAATCTGCCAGGTGTTCTGGCTGCTCTAAGCCAGCTGAGAGGATTCACGTCTGAGGAGGACAAGCTGATGAGAAGTCGGGCCAAGGACCTTTTGGATAGCTACGTTGGAAGAAAAAACTCACCAGCACCCTGCAAACATTGGAAAGTTCGTGCTCTGGAAAGAGCCATCTTCAAATGCTTCCAGACGGCTTGCATGAAAAATCCTGAAGGCCTGCAGCACTTCATAGAGACATCCCTCCCAGAGCAGCTGCTCAAAGTTCTACAGCCGTACAGATTGGCCAAGCAGGCTTCAGAAATCTCAGCACCTTGTGCTCCAGAGGATGCTTTGTCTCCTTTGCCAAGCGCTGTGGCCGCCGCGGAGACATCCAGACCACGCGACAACTGTCCAAGTCCTGTGGCACAGTGTGCTATCACTGCTGGCAATATCGGCACAGAGAAGGCGACGCTCTCCAGCGCAGCATTGCAGCTTCCATGGGCATCGGAGGAATGTTGGGAGAGGCGATGGGAGCAGGAACCTTGGACCAAACAGCTTAGCAAACTACAAGATAAAACCCTAAAAAACCCATCATAATCATTACATCAACTGTTTTCTCTGCCCTCGAGGCCATTCTCTAAGGATCTGGTGTGGCATCCAGGAATTCTCTACGCAGCGCATCAAGCTTTACCGCAGCACAGGTAGCTATCCGTGGATGCTAAAACTTGCCGCGACGACGTGACTGAATGACTCCAAGTGCACCATCAACCAGGGGAAGCGAGGCCTCAACCGCTACAGAGGGCCGAAAGCTTTATAAAAGTCAAGTGCTGGGACAAGATGTGCCCCTGAGGCAGGAGGGCCTGGTTTCATGTTGGCTTCCTCCACAGGCCCTCTGTGAGAGCAAGGTGCCAGCATCCTGGCGGCGTGTCTGCAGCCGGCGGCCTGCAAAGAGGACACAAAAGGAAGTCTCAGTAGAGCCGTGCTTTCTGCTGTTTCATTGAAAGTAACGCCAGTTTTGCGCAGCACGAGGTCCATGACGGGTCCATGTTCAGCACCTCTTTGAACATTGCGCAAGTGCAGTCTGCAACAGTGACTTTGAGACGCTGCGTGTTTGACGTTTGTTTCAGACAGATTGCCTTTTTACTGTTGTCCTTCGAGTTCGAAGAAAAGAACTGACGAACGAACTTGATCCCAGAATCACTCACAAAGGTATGCATTTGTTCTTGCTCAATCTTTGACTGTCTGAATTCTCAGTTGTAGGGCTTGGCGAAAAGATGAGAGCATACTGCACGTTACCTGTCAGCCTGGGATGTCAACATCATGTGGATCTTGAATCCTTCAGAAGCTAGCACATCCTTGCGACAGAGTTGAATACCATTTGAACTGTAGTCAAACTCCTTACAGAGGGTTACATAGGAGACTATATAGGGGAGTATCGTAGGGCTTGTTGGAGTTTAGATTATAGCTTATTCAAAATCTTGCGAAAAAGGCGAGACGAAAACGGCAGCGTTTCAGCACTCCAGGTTTCCTCATGGTTTGCTGACACTCAGGGGAAACATTGTAATGCCAGCTGAAAGTATTTGTTCTGCATTTTCCATGATCCTCGTCTGTTTGCCTTGCAGCGCGTGGCCCAAGCTTCACTGCTCGGGACCTTGGCACACCCTAGCGCATTTTGGCATTTAACAGACAGTTGGCTTGGACTGATGCTAAGCTCTTGTGCTTGTGCGAAACCACCGCGTGCAAGTTCCTAAAAAGGCATCACGCAGCATTCGCACCATGGCAACACTTCTAGATTGGAGCACGAGATAGCGCGAGTAGATTGCAGCTACCTGGAACTTTGTTGTGGCTCACTCTGGAGTGAGAGCTACGTTTGCAGCCATGGCGCTCACGGCTGTAAAAGAAGAAGAAGATGAGGGCATGCTGTTGGAGCGCAATGACGAGAGTGAGGCAGTTCGATCGCTGTTCAGTGGTTTGCACAATGATTTTGCATGGTTCATGGTTGCTGCGTTTTGCCGCTACCACGACGGTGACTCCTAATGCTGCTGTTTAGAGCAGCTGCTGCCACTGGCACTGCTACTGCGACAGCTACTGCCAATGCTGTTACTAAGATTGCTGCCCCTGCTAATACATTGCTACTGCTGCACATGGAACACACAGAAATACCTGGTCACAGTATTCAGATGCCGACGCAGGCCTTGAACGTCCTCGGCGAAGCGACTCCAGTCCCTCCGGGTGTTGTGCTGGACTGGAGCATAGAAAGCGCTCATGCAGTAGGATGGTGCCCGCAGGCTTGTGCTGTCGCGTTAGACCCCTATTCTGCACCCTTACCCTTACATTGCTTCCATGTTTGGGATGTAAGCAAGCAGAGGACAAGCTGTCCGCAGTGCTCTCGACTGGTCGAGCTCGTCTGAGATCCTTGCCTCAACTCGCAGTAGATGTGCCTTCATTCCAGCTTGAGACTTTGCTGGATCCCTTCTGGCAGGATTTGTTTCTGGACGAAGCTTCTTGGGCGGCAGTCGGTGGCGATGTCCATCAGCCTGCTTTGTAAACATACCGTCAAATCTTTTTCCACTAATGGCTACGGAATGAAGAAGAAGCTTCTGAGCGTTACCTTGGTGCAGACAATTGGGAAAACGGAGCCGAAGAAGCTCCACGGAGGTCACAGCATTCTGTGCTTGGCAGTTGCCTACATAGTGTGGCGCGACCTGAGCAAAGCTAAGGCTGGGGGGTCAATGGTGTTGTGTTCAACACCTGGACCTCATTCAGATGCGATCCTGATGGTTCATGTCGCCTGGTGGACGCTGCCGACTGGCGCACAGGAAGCTGGGTTGTAGCAATGCATGAATGCATGGGCGACTCTCCTACATCTGGTGCCAACTCGGGCATTTGGACCACGGTCATGTGGCCATGTCAGCATCTTCTGGAATGCTCTCATTTACGCCTTCATGCCTCCATATGAAACCTGAGAAGCTGATTCAAGCAGTGTTGTGCCTCGTTGAGTAGAGCCTGGATGGTGGTCAGCACAAGCACTTCCTGTCAACATCTGGTAGCTCAGCATGTGTGCTCTGCCTTCAATCCTCAGATCACATTTGTGAGGAAGTCGCGCGGATTGGGCGGCATCTGAGTTACAGCAGCTTGAAGATCTCCGCGAAAAGGCACGAATGCTCACTCCGGCGAGCGCCGCTTCAATTGACAAAGCGCAACACGATGTGCTTGTGAAAGAGCACTGCCCTGATCTCTGAAATCAGTAATAATCTCAGAACTTGTAAGCTTCCTTCGCAAGCCAAGCCCCACGACGCTGCCAAGCTTGGGCACACAGGCCCACGGCCTTCCGTGCGCGGCGTCATCGCAGCCATCAGTTCTGAGGCTCTCACCTGCCCACCGAGCAATTGTCACAAAGCTCTTCGGAAATCATGCGCCATCCATGTCATCCCATATTGGTCCGGTCCCGACATTTCATTTGGAGACTCAACATGGATTTTGGGTCTAAAGGGTCAGCATGTGGAGCCGTCCTTGCAGCTGAGAAGGCCATCCGTCGTCAGTCAACATGCAGGGGTTGTAGCCCTTCCGGCGTGCCTGTCCTATCCAAAGTGTTTGTAGAACTTGAAACTTACCCAGGTATGCTTCCGCCCCGGCAAAAGCCCCTGTGCTTTTATTCCTGGCCCTGCGTGAACACCCAAACCCACACTCCGCATCCCACACTGCACGCACACCACACCCCACGCTCAATACTTGGTGGCAATTCCCAGCGAATGAAGGAACGGTGTCATACGGTAGTCTGCATATATCATCCCCAATGAATATAGATAGTAGCTTTCATTTACGTGTTTGGAATTCCTTCATTCTCTACCAACCACCAGAAAGCCCAACCCAAAGTGACCAAGACAGCTTTCAAAGCTGCTCCTGACCTGGCCAGGCCTCGACATTGCCGTCGGACAGTCTTTCAGTGCACTCGGCATGACCTTGGTGTGGTTTTACTTGAAAGATGTCCCGGAACTCAATATTGATTCTTCTGCGCTAATCTACGACTCAGCCCCAGCTTGTTGCCGATAATGGCGACTGTAGAACTTCATTGATATCTGGGCAGAAAGACTGACCATGTTGGTACTTGGGCTGCCAGTCGAGCTACCTCTCTGCATTGCAAACAATCTGTGAACCCTCCAGTGTCAACACACTGATCAGACACGAGGTCTGTGGATACTGCTGTCCTGCCATGTCGTGCCATGTCGAGCAAAAGGCACTACTTGTACTCCCGGGCTTCTGACGGCACTTATCACCACTTCTTGCTGACTGTCCACAGTAGGTTTGGACATGCTGGATTTGGAAACGAGTTTCTTCACTTGGCACGGTCAGACCCAGATCACATCTCACAGGTTCTTCCACAAACCTTAGCCTAAGTCATCCACTTGGCTCTGCCCGGAAATCTGAGGGGAAGCACATCCACCAAAGGGGGAAATGACTAGAAGTAACTGACGCAAATGGCTAGACAAGCTTCGCAACAGGTTTCACCGCGAGTGTTTCAAGAAGAAGCGCGCCGCAGCGAAACCCAAGGCACGCAGGATTTAATGGATTTACCTGAACTGGCTGCAGTACCCATTGCTGCATATGATTCTTGTGGCTTAAGGAAGGATCCCATCCTTCTGTCTGAGCAGAATGTCCAGTAGGCCCACAGCGAGATGACGATTGCGGCCTTCCTGGCAATCGTGAAGGATTTGAAATCTCCACGCACTTTTTACATGCACCATTCGAGCCTAAACCCCAAACCTCTAAGTAGTAGTTTCCATTTTACTTTCCGTTTTCCTAATATAACCCCAATAGAACCCCAATGTAACCCCTAGAATCCCGCATGAAAGACCTTCCGGCGCAGGAGCGGTTGACAGCGGAAGGCCAATTACCGTTGCAAAGGGCTCGGTGCTTCGTGATTTCTTTAGTCTGATGCTAGCCGCTAGTTAAAGCAGAGTTGCAGCTTTCGATAATCCGTTGGCGTGATGTCCTACACCTAGTTAGGTATGTGAAGCTGCTCACCACCGTGAAGAATGGGGCTGGCAGAACTGAGATGGCCAAGAAGCTCGACTATTAGTTTTACCAGACATGCAGTCACATTCTCCAAGCACTCTGTGTAGCGATCACTGGCGCTAAGGCTCTTAGCAGGATATCCCGACTTGGTCACCAAGATTCCCATGCCAAAGGCCGTGGCGAAGCCGGCATCGCAAAAACCGCAAGCTGCCAAGGACCCTTTCCTTTGATCCCAGTGCAAAAACATTCTTGCAGATGCAGCTGCTCGCATTCTCAGTTGTTGAGGAGGTGCAAGTCCAGCAAAAGCAGCAGGTCGTGCCTTCCAAGCCGGCTGAAACTGCAGCCAGGTGGATGTGAAGCTGTGAAGCTTGTGCCCAGTAGTCTGTCCTGGATTTCCTTCAGTGTTGTAACCCTTGGGGTGCCAGGCCGAAAACATGTGACGTGGATGCAGAAGTTCTGGCAGCCTTTCGCGGGCTCGCGACTACTGCGGGGCTCGTCCGCCTCACTCTGCGCCGTGCAAGACCCACTCAGCGCCTGCGCTTGTTACGCTATTTGGAAACCTTCGCTCAAGGCCAGGTGCAAGCCAAGCGGCAGGTGATTTTTTGCCAACGCTCTTCGGCTGACTTCAGCGACGTTGTTGAGGCAATGACGGCAAGACTGCCACATCCCGGTTCCGACTCGCTGACGGAGCGCCTGGCGCACATTTGCGCAGTAAAAGACTTCTTCACAACGTTTGAGCATGACGATCGTGAAGCCAATGATGCGGTCTCAGAGCAAGAGCCCAACATCCTTGCAGCCCGAGCTTGGAACGAGGGCCGACTGCAGCTGGCAATGGAGGTGGGAATCCAGCCCCTTTTCGTAGATGACCCTGGCGTACGTCTGGCAGAGAGTGGCTACGTGAGGCGAGCCAAAGCCTTGGGCTATGCCGTAAGCTTCGATGATCTACACTGAGCCAGGGCTGAGCCAGGGCTGAGCCTGGGAGCCGCGAGGACTGCGAGGACTGCGAGGACTGTAGGCAAGCCTGACCTGACCGAAGCAGCGAGCTGAAGCGGGGGCAAACGCCTGGCGGGCAGGGTTGACAAGGGGCGTGCTTGGAGAAATTGTGATTTTTCAGAAGGTAACAGACTCCGAACTAGGAAATGCACGGGCTAGGACCCTTCAGCATTTTGCTGGCTGCATCGTTTCATGGATTTGTGTTACATCAGGTCTCTTTAGAGGGCATCGCGGTCGCTCGCTTCCGGGAGAGCAGGGTGTGCAATCCTCGAAAGCTTCAACCCAGAGAAGCAAATGAGTCCAAGAGGAAAGGAGCTGCAGAGGACAGGTTGACAATCTATCTCCCGGCCCCTGGCTAGCTCGCCTTCAGTCACTCATAAATGAGAAAACAAAAGCTTGAAGAGGCTAAGGTTGAAACTCCGTCAGGCGCCATGTCATTTACAGTATTCCACTGGCGGACTGTAGGTTCCTCAGGCCTGCCTTTGGCAAGCACTCTCTGTGTGAAGCATTGTTTGGGTATACTGGGATTATATTGGGTTTTATAGATGGAAGCTATTGCAATGGGTTATATAGGGTATATTGGGATTATATTGAAGCTACTGTTTCGCCCACGCTTACACCCCTGGGACCTTCACACCTTCGATAAGTTCCGGACCTAGCCAGGGTTCACCTCTTCAATGTTTGCGTCGAGTCAACGAGGTGACAGTGTGCACTGCTAAACAACCAGCAAAAGATTGAGAGAGCAGGTCCACTTTGAGGTAGATGTTAACTCCAGCTGTGCAGATTTAGAGAGTTGATTGTAGTTTGTTCCCATGGTATTTTATTGAAGGCAACCTGCTTCTTCGGCCAATCTTTTCCTACCATGTGCCATGTGGTATCACATCATCCACGCTTCTACAGCCATGCTGGCACGAGTCCTTGTAGCTACTGAGCGCAGTGGCCATGCAGCGTCAAGATATCTAGGCTATGGAGGCTGGGAGGTGTCAGCTAGTGACGTGTAGATCTTTGGTGTCGGGCTTGCAGGCAGTGATTGCTGCTAGTCAGGCGACCCGCGCCATGCACTAGCTGTGGCTAAGGCTCTTGGTTGCAGGTGGAGATGGGAGGTGATGCTATGATTGTAGCATGGTACTACTGGAGTACTACTATAATAGTATTATAATGCAATGATAATGCTGTTGTGCAACTACCATAATAGTACTATAATCGTATTATAATATTACTATGATAGTACCAGAATACTACTGTAGTACTACTATAGTACTACTACAGTACTACTATAGTACTACTATAGTAGACTATAGCACTACTACAGTAGTGTTATAGTACCACTATAGTACTACTATAGTACTATTATAGTGCTACTATAGTGCTATACTATTAATGTGGGGGCCAGAGTTGCAGTGAAAGCCAAGGCACTGCTGCCTCTGCCGGCAGGGTCCTTCCTTGAGGTTCACTGCCCACGTGAGGCTGGGCTGGTTGCCACAAGGGTTTAGGGTTCAGGGTTTAGGGTTCAGAGTTTAGGGTTTAGGGTTCAGCGATTTTCTTACTTGTGGTTAGCTGGGCATGAATGCAGGGAAAACACAATGGAAACTACTATAGGGTTTAGGCGGTTTAGGGTTCGGGATTTTTCTTACCTTTGGTTAACCGGGAACTACTACAGGGTTTAGGGTTCACGGATTTCTTACCTTTGGTTAGCTGGGAATAAAGGAATCGAGAAGAAATGGAAAGTACCATAGGGTTTAGGGCTTAGGGTGGCAATGAAGGAATGGAATGACATGGAAACTACGATAATGGGTTATATAGGAACTGCTATAAGGATCTCTTCCTTTATTTCTAGCTGACCAAAGGTAAGTTTTTCAAGGCTTACCGCAACCATGCATGCTCCTGCCTAGACCTTTCCCCTATATAACCCCATATAATATAGTAGTTTCCTTTTTTTCCATTATCCCAATACAAGCCCAATAGAACCCCTATATAAGATTTGTCTGGGCCCGAGGTACCTGCTCTGCAACACCTGGCCTCAGACGCTTGGAGTTCATGGAGGGCTGAGATTCTCCTTGCCAGAGATTTGGGGAGTTCCCAAAACTACGGGTACCTTTTTTGGGGTTTCCATAAAAAGGATTATAGTATATTGGGGTCTGTAGGGTTCCCTTATTTTGGGAAACTGCCATTGATAGAAACTGTAGTGCTGTCATTGGCTGATTCCGCCTACGTGTGGGCTTCATGTTGTCAAGGGTTAGAACACGACCTCTCAAGGAACAACCCCAACTGCGACTTGCTCGCGTCGGCAGCCAGGGCATGGGCAAATCGTCTCTTGTCTGCAGAAGAGGGAGGAATGCTTCAAAGATCACTGACCCAGACAAAGAACCAGAGAGGGTGGCAAGGGACGTTCTGCTTAACACCCCGCACGGGAGCCAAGCATGTCTGTTCACAGTGATTACTGCTTTTTTTTAGGAGCCCAGGTTTCTTCACAGCATTGTGGCAAGTGCCGAGCAGGATTTTCACTATTGGAGCTGCATGACACCCTCCGGAATTTTTGTAGATCGCTTTGGCATTGCTGACTGGGACGAATTGCAGGACACACTTCCGCTGCGGGGTGTGTTGCTGGACCTGCGTGGTATGGCTTTGGTCTCAGCAAGCTTGGCTAAAGGATTGAATGTTTGAGCCTGCTCTTTTTGATGCTTGTGCTAGAGTCTGGATCTTTCTTAGGATGGAGCAACCCAAAATCTAATTCCAACCAACCCTCGCTTTCTGCTTAGTCGGAATTGTTTAGGTCATTCCCCGTTACAGAAACTGTCCCCACGATCTGTACTAGAAGTTTTATAGCCCTGAACAAAAGCCCTTTACGGACATTTACTGCAAGGGGGAATGACCCAAGGAATTGTCCCTAAACCCTAAACCCTACACCCCCCGCCGTGGAGTCTTTTGATGAAACACTCTGCCTAGGCTTTGCCGGCCTGGGCGGCCACCTGGCTGAGCAAGGCAACTGCACAGGTGGGCTGGACCCCAAACCCTAAATCCTAAACCAGACTCGTTCGGTGACTAATGAGGGTGGAGTAATGGACTAAGCCTACGCCTGCCGAAAGGCTTTTAATCTCATGCTGAGGTTAAAAGAGGCGTTGCAAAGAAAAAACCAGACTCGTGAGGAGCTTACGGAGATTTTCCAAAAGCACGGAGAGCAGGAGGCTTGGGAGCAGCAAGTGGAATATTAGCGTTTAGGGTTTCATTGGGATTGATAGGAGCTATAGCCTAAACTCCTTGTAAAAGCGGATATACCGGGGATGATATACTTTCTCATTTAGGGTTTAGGGTCTATGGTCTAAGATCCTTTAAGGGGTTATGAAGGGGATTATATAGGGGAGTGTTGTACGGGTTATTGAGGGGTATACCAGGAGTTTAGACTATAGCCTGTTTTTTTTTTCGGGGCCCCTCGAATGAGGAGCATGGTAGTTAGGGATATATGAGGTGGACACCCATTTTCTTGCAATATTTTTCCCAGGACGCTACAAACAAAATTGCTTCACAAGTGTGAACAAAGACGGTGGCGTGGTCAGGATGACCTGATGTGGGCCCGATTTGCGCAGGTGGGCTGGGCAAGCTGAGTCTTGTTGGGTGCAGCAACTGTTTGCTGCATTTCCCTGCCTAACGCCAGTTACCATGTCATTGTCCATTTGCTTTTCTATTTGATTCTTCAGTATTGTACCCTACATCGCATACATCCCCACATTGCCATATGTATCAATTTCTAAATAGGGGGACCCCATTGTAGACCCCAAAATACTTTAATCCTTTCTTATAGCGACCCCCAAAATGATACTCCGTTACCAGCAAAACTCCAGAAAACCACCCCTTTGGTTTTAAGCCCCAATCTGCCAGGTGGTGATTGCGACAAGGAAGACGGGCTTGAAGGCAGGGTTTAAGGTTTAGGGTTTGGGGCTTAGGGTTTTAGGTTTAGGCTTCAGGGTTTAGGCTTAAGGGTTTAGGGCTGGGTGAAAGACCACGTTTCTGCGGGTTCACCTTACCGGTGGTTAGTAGGGAATAAGGGAACATGGTTCCTAAATAATCCCTGTAAAATGCATTTCCTCATTCCCTACAAACCCCCAGAAAGTCATTGGAGCAGCAGGGTACCAATCCAAGGTTTGTTGTTGGGCCCTGGGCGGGACTGGGACAACTCATTCTGGCAACAACAAGCTTGGTTTCTATCAGGGAACCAGGTCACTTTAGCGCCCCTCGCATAGGGCTTGTGTTTTAACTGCGAGTTATCCCAAACTGGAGCTGAAATCAGATGTGCCTCTGTTGCATGCAAAACCTGTGCATGCATGCAACACATTGCTCTGCCCGTCTATCGCAGGCGAACCGGGACATTGCAGGCCTACTTTGGGTGCTTTGGGTGGTTGAAATCAGGATGGGCCTACGGGCTCAATGAGGTAGCTGGCCGCCAGGGAAAGTGCATTTTGCATCCTTTGCAAGACTATGTGGAAGTGCAGGCCTCTTTCGAAACGCCGCGGAGCTGCTAAGTGATCCTGTCGGCGGCTCAGCTTAGAATCCTTGGGAGAGTAGAAAGGCCGATTGGTACAAGCTGGCTACCAAGCCATGGACAGGCACGGCGATTGCATTTTCGGCAGCAAGAGCTGCCAGAGCACTGCACACTTGCTTGCCACTGGCCTTCTCAATCTTCGCAATCCTCCCTCGCTTTGTAATCAGCAATAGCTCACGCCAAAAAACTGTGTTCCCGCCTCCGGCTTACTCCATGATCCAGACTTCGACATGGAAAGATGATCACAGTCCTCGCGCTTGATGTTTGCTGGCGAGTTGTAACTCTCGATTAGATTCGACTAGATGTCCACATAGACCTGGTCCAATCTGACTGGCAAGGTGTAGCATTCCACAGCTGACCTCCCGTTCCAGTCCATCATCATGTCATCATAACATGATGATCCTTGAATCGTTGTGACACACTCCGGATGCCCACTGTCTCCCTGTCAATTAGTATCTCGACCTATCTCTTTTCTTGATGTTGAGGCCAATTTCGACGACCAGTTTGACAAACTTCCCGGTGTGCTATATGTACCCTCCCACTCATGGGACCTCAAATATGCAGATGACACAGCTTTGTTCCCAACTTCTTCCAACAGCTTATCAGTCCACCTACCTCAGCAAAGTCCTTGGATTGGAGTTAACTGATGATGAGTGTTAGCACATCCGCTTACATTCTGAACAACAACATATCCACTTTGGTCCGGATAGTTGCCTGACCCGTTTCTGTAAGCATCGCTCTGGCCGACTTCCACAATCAGATTGTGGGCTCGAGTGCCACAGGGGATTTCTTTGACTACCTCACGATGCTGTCTGCTGGACTTCGCACGGGCTCTCTATGCGCCCACGGGAAGCCTCACGTCCACTTGGCTACACATGGCCTTGCGCAGTTACATCAAGGGCCTGTGGCCTAATG